CCCCGCTCAGCACATAATATAAAGCAAAATATATGGCAAATCCTACTTGGGGAAGGGGGGAGGCTTTTAAAAAGCTATGCACAAAAGCTGGATTATGGAGAGGTTACCTCTTTTTTGCTGCTTTCTCCTACTACCAGAATTTTATAACTGTGTTAAAGGAATCTAGCTGGTACTTTGCTCTCTGTTTAAATTGGTCTCTCTCTTGTCTACGTGGATGCTCAAGGCCAAATTCCTCTTAGCAAGGCTGTTTAGCTGTATGTGTTTTCTGGTAGGCTCTAAGGATATGCTGGATGTAGCTGCTGTCCTGCCAGAAGCTTGGATGTCAGTCACTGTTATATGTTGCTGCCTGGTCTTCCTGTGTATTTGCTGTCCTTTTCAATGGGGTGTGTGATTGGTGATAAGAGCATCTTAATGTTGCAATCTCTTCATTAACATTTGCAGCTGAGAGAGAAAAGTATGTGAATAATACTCATATGCAGAATACTGTCCATTTGTAAAAGTGTGGAAAGTAGAGAGATTTACCATGTGTCGGTCGTATGGCTGTGGGTCAGCAGAGGGAAGCGCTCGCAGGCAATGCTCGCCCGGTTTCCCACTGGACACGTACCCGATATTGCCTCTGGCTGCACTCGCGCCGGGCTTGCAGGCTGGCATGTGCTGCCAGGTGAAGCCAGGAGTGGGATTTCTGGAGGAGCGTGCATTGCCCCAAAGGGTGGAGAGGGATGGTGTCCCCCCGCAGCATCGCACACTTCATCTCAGTTTCTATTCTGGCTTCTGAGCGCAGGAGCTGCGCGGGGAGGAGCCTGATCACCCAGCAGTTCTGCCTTTGCCAAGCTGCTATTTGGAGGGGGGGGGCCGGAAACAAGCAAAAAAACCCCAAGCCCGCAGGCAGGGGGGTTTTTTTTTCCTTCCCCTTTCTTCTATTTGTGCATAACTAGAAGAACTTGGCCTCAGGGCAAAACTTGCTTTTAATTGTTATCTGAGAATGGTTTGTGCTGTCTTTCACTTGGCTGGGAGAATAGGAGCACAGAGATTTTTGGTTTTGGGTTTTTTTTCTGTAGACCAGAGGCTTACTGGTTTTCAAGGTTTACTCGCTTGCTTAACCACAGGGAGGCAAGGACTGGGGTTCAGACTTGGGACATAGCGTTGAGTTTCTGCCTTTCTGGCTCTCTACGACAAGAAACCTGAGACCCTAGTTTTCTCCAGTATCTCTCTTGTGTGGAGCCCGGCTTCATTATGAGGAAATGCAAGACCACGGCTGCTTCCCGCATACTTTGTACCCATGCCAAAGCAATTTTGTGTAAAACATGCCAAGTTCAACAACCAAAATGCCCAAGTCACTGGCTTTAGCCTAGGTTCACTGCCCAGCCCTGCCTGGCACAAGGGAAATCGGTGAACTGTGTCTAAGCACTAGCGAAGCCTTTCTGGGGTGGAGTGGGGAACATCAATGGCCTGATGCTATTTTGAAGGCTGGATAAAATGGCAGAAAATGCAAAAACGTTGAAAAGACACAAATGCAGGTAAGATATGGTTATACTTCATCACCTCCAGCGGCAGCAAGGGAGCTGGGTGAAAGGCCACCTGCTGAAGAGCAATGGCAACCAGCTTGGTTGGGGGATCAGAGCAACTGCAGTTTTTTCACTAACTGTCCCATTCCCCTCCCATATCTTTCAGAAGAGAACTAGGAATGGCCGCCCCGTCCATCGTGACAATCCAGCCACAGTACGGCATGACCATGCCCACCGTCTCGAGGAACATGTGGCAGACAGGGCTGATGGACTGCTGCACCGACTGTGGCGTCTGTGAGTGCCTTGGGCAGTCCCATCTCTCAGCCCTCAGCAGTGACATGCTGCGATCGGTCCCACGCCCTCTCGGGACACTTTTCTCACTCCTGCCGCTTGGGTTGGTGGTATGGTAGCTACAGCCGTGTAGCCTGGTCCTCCCAGTTCCTCCCAAGATGCTGGCGGTGCCAGGAGGGCTGGCAGAGCCTCACCCGCCGCTGCATTCCTCCCTCTGCCAGGCTGCTGCGGGATGTTCTGCTTCCCCTGCCTCACCTGCCAAGTGGCCGGGGACATGAACGAGTGCTGCCTGTGTGGAGGCAGCGTGGCCATGAGGACCCTCTACCGCACCAGATACAACATCCCGGTCAGTGGTTAACCCACCCCCTCACCATACTGCGAGGCTGAAAGATGAGGTGCTCCCGAGGCCCCTCTCTGCACATCAGGGATGAGCACGGGGCCGCAGCACTCTCGGCTTGCCCTTTTTTCACTTTCATACCCTGCATGATGCCGGGAGCACAGGACAGGGGTTGGGATGCCCTCAGCCGCACTGATCCCTGGGCTGGTGTCCAACAACGCACATTAATTGGACACAGCTCCTTCCCAGCACCCTTCACTGGGGGCACGTGTCCTGCCTTCAGCTGCTGCTGACCACAGCGTCTTGCAGAGCCTTGGCTGCTGCTTCCCCACAACATCCCCAGTCTGTGAAAGATGGGAAAGATTTGAGATAATTGTGGGCAGACTAAAGAATAGATTAAGTCAATTGCACAGATAAACATCCATACTCAGATGCAGGAGAAAGGTGGACATCTGCATACAGTACATATGTGAAATGGTTTCTTCCCACTGGGGGTTAGTGCTGTCCCCAGTGCAAAGCACGGTGGCCCAAGTCCAGTTTGCCCAAGTTATCTCTTTCTGTGTGTGTTTTACCTCGGAAGCCAAAAGATAAGTAGCTATCTGCAGACTGCAGAAAGGACTCCCTCCTTCCTTTCCACTGGGGGGGGGGATCGCCAGCCCCGGTTTTTAGTGTCTGCTACTCAGGATGCTGCAGCCAGCCAGGAAACAAAGGGCACACTACGGGAATGTAATTAACCTTTTCTTGGCCGAAACATGGCTTTTGGGAAGCCTCTGTCCCTAACCAATTTCTTCCTAACAGGGGTCCATTTGCTCTGACTTCTGTATCACCATGTGGTGTCCCGTGTGCTCCGTTTGCCAAATTAAGAGAGACATCAACCGGAGGAGGGAGCTGGGCGTATTCTGGTAAGGAGGGCATGCTGGTGCTGGTTTATAAAGCCACTGCCACACACAGCCAAGCAGCTTCCCGGAGTCTCTCCTGCCAACGCCTGATGTAAGACACAGGGTTGCTGCAGTGGGGAAATGGCCATGGACAGGTGACAAGAGTGACCTGTCCTGCAGCAAAATGTTGCTGGGAACCTCATGCAGGACGGGGGGGGGAAGGACTGGGGGGACATACATGGTGTGGCAAGGCATGGCCCCTGCTCCCTGACCCTCCTCTCCCATCCCATTGCAGATGCCGCTGTCCTCACTGTGCCCTGCAGAGCTGCTGTGGGCAGGAGCTGCTGCTGCCCTGGCTCTTGGGAAATGCACCACAGCGGGGGTTTGCCTTAGCTATGGTTGATTCCTCCTTCCCTGAGTAATATCATGAATAAACAGCAGAACTTGCCTTCCTGCCTGTGTGTGTGTCACTCTTGCACCGCCTGACAACACCCGTCCTTCTCCCGCTCCATCTGTCTTCTAGTATTTTGTTATTCACTCAACTTTTAGAAAGGATTTAATACATAGGAGGAGTCGGTGTCACTCATCCAAGTTGTAAAATTTGGAAAAATGACTTCTGCTCCAGGGCAGAGCTGGGGCTTCCTGCAGGCAGGCAACGGCTGCAGGTCACCGAGTGCCGAGTTGTCTCTGCTGTGGTGGCCCGGCTGGCCGTCCTGGGCTGCTGGCCAGTCCCACCTTTCTGAACATAAAGCCACAGGGATTTTTGGCTGCCTGGCACCAGCTTATCTCCTGCATTGCAGAGACATGCTCCCCTATGGACCCTAAGCATGAATTCCCATCCGCCTGCAATTAAAAACCTGATTGCGTCATAGGTTGGCCAAGTCCTCTCCATGGTCAAACCCTGCCGCCTCCCAGCCACAGCCAGGCAGAGCACGCCTGCCTGTGCTGGGCTGTTAGCGACTTGTTCTCTGTCCGAAAGGCAGAGGTTACATCCACCCTCTCTCCATCACTCTCAGATGCTAAAGGATTTTTGATCCCTACAAATCTCCCCCAGCTTCACTCTCTAAGGAAAATATGGTATCTTTTTTCCCCTCTGCCTTTACCTTCACCACAAACCTTGTAAAGGGCAGGTAGAGGCTCTGTCAGTGCTGCGGGGTAGGTCCGTGCAGCAGCACTCCCACCTGCTTAAACTGCAGATGGCCCAGACAGTCCTTGTGGATGATCCCTGGAAATACAGAAAACTGCATTTTTAGCCTAAGAGAGGTAAAAGCCAGTGTCCTGGTTGCGGCAGGGATAGAGTTAATTTCCTTCCTAGTAGCTGGTACAGTGCTGTGTTTTGCATTTGGGATGAGAACAATGTTGATAACACACCGATGTTTTAGTTGTTGCTAGGTAGTGCTTACACTAGTCAAGGACTTCTCAGCTTCCCATGCTCTACCGACTGAGAAGGCTGCAGGTGCACAAGAAGCTGGGAGGGGGCACAGCCAGACTGGCCAAAGGGACATTCCATACCATTGTTTTGGATTTGGGATGAGAACACTGTGGAAAGCTGGCCGGGGGGGTCGTTGTTTCTGGATCTTGGTTACACTAGTCAAG